GTCATGTCAGCTTTCTCAGGCTGTTTAATGGCAGGCAATAAAAAAATTCTTTCAAGGACACTGACTCAGCTTCGGCCAAGGCATCTCCGCTAGGTGCCTTCTGGAAGGATTGAATTCAGTCATCTTCTTCAGTACGCAATTTCTTTCTCCAGTGTCTGGAAGGAATGGATCTGCTTTATCCAGCATGCACTGTGCTGCCTTGTATCTTCCCATTCCTGGTCTCTCACTGAGGAACTTCAAGTGGATGGGAATATTCCCTTCCAGCCTTGAACAGATCCAGTCTATTCAAGGCAGAGTATCTATAGCCAACTACACAGCTCTTCCCTTCCAGGACTGGGCCACCAGTTTATATGTGAAAGTGTTATTTCATCTGGTTCCCAGGCTGACATATTTTATGAAGGAATGCCAGCAGAGGGGTTCCTTTTCACCTCAGAGGTCTGAATTTAAGCTCACGCTTTAATCACCCTAATATCCTGAGCTGATGCTTGGAAGATAAATCCAGCAGAGAAGCTTGGTGACACCTCCCAAATGGGGTTTTGGGATGGAAAGTGTACAGTAAACTAGTTAAAAAGCAAGTGTACTGACCAGAGAGGACACAAGCACATATATAAAGACCAAAAAGTCTACTGTGCTCATGACAAAACAGAATGGCAAAGAAACAGCAAACCTGCAGACATCTCATCCACCATGATGTCACGCTTAGTCGGAGTGGAGTCTGACAAGGCCACAAACTGCAGACAATTTTACCCAGCTTTTGGGACTATCTGTGAATACATTGAAGGGCTGGACTTGCACTTATATGCAAGGCATGAACCCTGGCCATTTTCTACAGTTCTGAGTTATCAGACATAGTACATGATCAGGTAAGTAAGGGAGTCAATTTTGACCTAGATTTTCAAAGGTAATTTTCATCTATTCCTGTTTTTCAAAGAACCTATATTTACTTCCTTGTTTCAGGATGACATCTCTCCCAAAACTGGGCATAATCTTTGGTTTTGGGACAGAAAAATATCTGCTTGTGGGACTTGCATTTTTATGGATGTCTGTATGTGTTAACAGAAGCACGGTGAATCTGTTTAAACTGTTTCAGCAGCTCAGAGTTATGGTGTCAGATTTTTTTCAGATTAGTCCTTTTAGCAGCTGATAACATATGGCTCTGAACTGAAAGGCTATGATGTAAGCCTTGCAAAAAGCCTGAAAGGCAAATTAAGCAATAACACGGTTGGTGCTCTGGCATCATAACAAACTGTTTTTCTTTCTAAGAGGTGCACAGTGGGGAGAGGTATTCCCTCCCCTTCACTCTTATTGCATTCACCCTCAGGCACAAGATGACAGACACTGTGCTAAGTATCTCAGGCTGCTTAGTACAGCTGAGGGTACCAGCTGTCCTGCTGGCAGACCCCAGCAGCTTGACAGAAGGACAGCACCTGGAGGAGCTGGCAGGCTCATTTCCTCTCCCCCTGGGCTCCTCCAGTCTAACCCACAGCCATGTAGGAAGGGCATCCCAAAGAGATGAGCCTAGGGAGAGGAGAAGAGAGAGAGAGGGAAAGGCAGAGAGGAAAAGACTATGGAGTTGGGTTTGAGAAGGAATTAAAGACTGCTTTAACCCTAGACCTTTTCCTGGTCACCATTGCCTGTGGATGGATAAAAGGCAGATACAGCACCTGAACAGGACAGGACAGGACAGGACAGGACAGGAGAGGACAGGACAGGACAAGACAGACAGGACAGCATGGGAGCACGGGACAGCCCTTCTGCCCTCGCACCCTCTGTTAACAGCCAGATGGCTGAGATGGGCTTTGCCTGCTGCCCCAACTCTTAAGTTCCACTGTGCTTGTTTCTTGCTGCAATCCAAGAGGTTTGGGAAGGAGACACAAAAAAGAGAGGAAGAATGAAAGAGAGAAGGACACTGCTGGCCATTATAGTCTGGGACAAAAAGCCACCAATCAAAGTTTAAGAGAGTAGGAGGGGAGCAGGGACCATTCCTGGGGACAGCTGGAGAATTTACTCGGGCAATAAGCAGAGGCCTACCCTGAGCACTGCCAGGAGTATTAGCAATGCTATCTCTCCTGGTCAGAACAGGAACAATGTCTCTTAAGACCCAAAACCTGGTGCTGTCTGACCTATGATTACATGGCTCCTTTCTGAGAGGAGGTCTGCTCAAAGAGGGTTTTGAGGGGGTCCCCAGTCTGAGAGGGCAAGCACAGGGCAACAACTCTCTGTCTGCTCTGGAGAGCTGGCAAGGGGTGCTCAGTGGCATTTCAGGATTTCAGGATGCCCTGGTCCTGAGCCCTGCTTCAGCTGGCTGTGGTCACACAGCGGTAACCATGAGGTGGCCTCACTGCCACGCTGCTGCTTGAGCAATTTGCTGGGAGAGGAACAAAAGACACCCACCAGAATGGGTCACAGACCTGCCAGGATGCCAGGGAGAGGTGTGGTGTGGAACAAACAGGCAAGATCTCCGCAGTCAAGAAAAGCTCCAGTTGAATTACATTGAATCCTGAGACTTCCTGAAGTCCATCTTCATGTTCCAGTGGCAGTGCCAGTGTAACTCCCAAAGCTAGCCTGATGCTTTTCTGGATCCTTTTAAATCTAGGCTGGCCTCAGTAACAAAGTGCAGATACACATTGGAACATACAGGCGTATCCTGTGCTGTAATGCTGTGGTGAGGGAAACTCCTGTTTTTGAAATCATTGTACTACCTAGCTGAACTGCATAAAGTTCAAATAACTTCTACTGGCTGTAGTCTAGCCAGGAAACCTCGACCTCTGGAGTGAGGTCATTAAAGCCGAACTTCTGGAAGCTCAGAGGTGTTTAGAGAGCCTGTTAATTACTGTACTAATCCTTCAGACAATGCTGGCTCCCAGCACTTCCGCAGGATTAGCACTTTGGTAGCACTTGAGCCCAGACCACTCCACTTCCCCCGACAGGAGTACCTCCTGATTAAAATACTGCCAGTATCTTTTCCAGGTCCACACGTGCATAAGTAAGGCAGTCAGGAGATTCACAGGGTGTCAGAAACTAGCCCTGAGCATTTCTTTACAGGTGTGAGTCCTTTTTGCCTCATTATCTGGCGCTGATGTCATCTGTTTGCTGTGCTTGTCTGACACTCCTGCAGCCTTGGATGGTTCCTACCCACTGTGGAACAAGCTGCCTATTTTTTCCAAAATCGTGTCTCTTCTAAAACCTTAACCCTGTAGGCTTTGGCTCAGCAAGCCAACAGCTCTGTAGAAGGACAGAACGCTCTGGATCCAGAGCATGGGTGTAATGCCAGTGTGGAAATCAAATGCCTCATCCATGAAAAATCCCTGCGACAAAATATGAACAACCATAATCACAGTAACACTGGGAACAGAGCTCATCAAGACACTGGTATTCATTCAATCAGACAAAGTAGCTGCTACCCAGAAGGTCTCAATCTTTCCAGCTTACATTCCCAAACACAAACCTTCCTTATAGGAGAGCAAGGACTGCCCCTACACAGCAGAGGTAGTAGCAGTGGTTTTGGACCCCTTGTAGTTAATGATCTTTGTCTTGCTGATCAATGATTTTCTAGCAGGTTTACTTGGCCATGGTCAAAAAGCAATCACAACTGGTTTGTGTTAGTGCATCTACTGTAGGAACCAACATCAGCTACCACTCTCTCATGGGCATGAGAATGCTGCTTAGAACTTCAGGCCATCAGACTTCTTACTTGATACTCCTTCAGCAGGCACATAAAATTGCCTAAGGACATTCAGGCATCCCAATCTCACTGATCTAGGCACTGAGGTTTCCAGCACACCTGTTCACACAGTGGGAGCCCCTGGGTCCCTCAGGGATTCCCTACTGTCTCACAGACTGTACCTGCTACTCTGCAGGCAGCACAGAGGAATCCAAGAACTGAGACTGAATTTATTCCTGTGTTTAACCATGAGTGCAGTTTCTCCTGGATAAGGCCTTCCCCAAGGACTGGCATTTCCCTGGCTTTGAAATTCCTACAGTATAGAACATGCTGCACAAAGCATGTTGACACAGAGACACAGTCCATATCAGCAGGGTCTGTAGTTGTTGCCAGGCATTGACTGTTATTGCAGATTTGCTTCTGGGTAAAATAATATTTGAATGAAGCAAAAATAAAGGAAAAGCAAGAAAAACCTCTCTGGCAGCCATTTGGGAGAGAGACAATGGAGTCAAGTGTCTTCTTCCTGTTTTTATCTCCAGGGCAGCAGATGATCCCATGTAATACTTCACCACAACAAACACAGAGTTATTCATTAGTCACACAGACTCCCTCCTGGTACTCCCTGTTTAAAGGATGCTGCACACACTAAAGCACCCCCTACTCAGGTGTGACTGTTGCACACTACCTGGTTGTTGATCCTTGTGCTTACATAAAACAGGCTCCCAAAGCAGCCACAGGCAGGGAAAAATGGGGAAAGCAGGCAGAACTCTCAGATTTGTGGCAGTCACTTTGTGCAGGAGCCCTGCACAGCACCAAGTCAAGGCTGCAAGACCATGAGAACAACAGCAAAACAAGAAAAAGAGAACACTCCAGCAGAGAATCTGCAAAACACAACCACAGCACCTTAGGTGAAAAGTACTGAGTTGCAATTAGAAGGCAGGCTGCATGGTTGCAAATTTCAACTTGCAGCAAGTCTATCCGCAAAAGCCTTTGACCTTAAAAGAGCTAAGACAGTACCCTGCAATCAGCAGCTTCAGCAGGAAAAATTGCAGAAGCCTTGCATTGGAGTAATCAGTAAGGCAGTGCATGAAGTGCTATTTTTCACTTTGAGAAAGGAAGGCCACAATTACTGCCCCATACCTGGTATAGAACCCCCAATGCAAGGATCAGAGCTGCTCTCTCCCTCATCCCATGTCACTGCCATGTGTCTGTGTCTGCTTAGTACAGGACTGTGCTCTCTTGTGCAGAGACAGGAGCACTCTGTTTAGGAGCTGGACAAGTGTTTATGCTGGGGAGCCACAGAGAGGTTACCTTTTCCGGCTCTGCTCTAGTCCTCTGCAGCTTCCTTGTGCCAGGCTTAAACAGCTGTATGCTTGTCCTCTTTCTTCTGGAGCTGAAGTCTCTCTATTCATCGCTTTGAAAAGTCTCTGCATCTGATCTGAAAGCAGAGGAGAGTCAGAGCTGTATTACTTAGCTCTTTCTGCAGACCCGAGCAATCACTCCACCACGTGGATTGTCTTCTGCTCCACCAGAGCAGAGATGTCTACAGTCAAATGATAGCACTTGGGCCACTGTTTAAGAGAAAACTGGGGCCTTCAGGAAAGAGTAGCCAGTTAATGGATATTACAGACTAAAACTTTGCTGCAATCCATGGTTTTCTGTCTCTCCTTATACGAAACAGTTTTAGCACTGGCAACTCAGAGAAGAGAGTCTGTGAAAGCACAGTTTTGTTTGTGAAAGAAACTGTAGGGCAGTTTTCTGGTTTTGACTGTGACCTCATGTACCTCAGTAAGGCAGACTGATGAAGAAAGCTAAGCCTGGCCTAATCTTGGATTGAGAGGCATAAAATTTTCCCACTCTGAAGAAGTCTTTCTATTGCCTCTGTGTGTGAGTTTCAGTTAACTCTTTAGTGGCTAGCAAAAGTTAGCAGCCTGCTTGTGGCCTTAGAATTGGAACTAGACCATGTAGGTATCAGTCATGTAACCTGAACACCATGATCATCATGGCACTTGTGCTGCTGTAGCATTTCAACAATTATTAGACAGCTCTGATCCTTATGTCAATTTGTGAGCAAAAAATAATAGTGGCCAAACACTTAGGTGTGAATAAATCCAACAGTTCTTGTTACTTGGCCAATCAATGTGAACAAGCCATATTTTGCAACCTAGCAGGTAAGACACTAATTTTTAAAAGCTCATCAGCCTTAAGCTAAACACAACAAAAGCTTTATTTCTGTTACAAATAGCAATTCTGTAAGAGGGTCTTTACAGAGTTGCTCTACCAGGCTAGTAGTAGATTTGATACTTAAGCGTGTGTATTCTCTTGTATCCTCAAAATAACAGCACACAAGAGGGAGAAGTGGGAAGAAATAGACAATTCCTTCACCTCTGGTCACTAATGTGCCACAGACAAGTTTCCAGTTTGAAAAGTATAGCAAGATGTTGTGTCTGAGGGAGGCAAGCAGTGCAGCCCCTTCCTAACAAGGAGTCTCTTAGGCTTGATAATCATGTCAGGCCTTTGGTCCCTGAGAAGAGAAAGAAGATGTTATGCCCCATCTTGCACTGCCACCTCCTCCTACAGATGGGGAGAAGACTTATGACATGGCAAACAAAATAGCTGCTACAAAATTACATGGTGCGTAGCAATGAAGAATCAGCCACAGTCACAGTTTTGAGAAGATGTAATCGGGTGATATTTTCTTTCCCCTTGCGTGTTGCTGCACAACACTGCCATGGACAAACAAGATTTTTCACTCTGAGGGGGCAGAAGGAGATCTTGTTCAGGCTGTTATGTATGTCAGGAACAGCTTAATCACCAGTAGGGTTGCTTTCTTGCCTGAGACCATTGCTTTATCTTTCAGGAATCATCAATGTTCCACTTAGGAAATATTTTTGACTCTAGTGATTTGTATGTGTGTGTTAGCTATCCAGCAAAAGATGGCATGACTAAATAATCCAACAAGTGTTTTATCAGCTTGTGTTTGCTCCTGATTCAAGACAATGCCCCCCAAACAGTCATTACCCAGGAATGCAGATCTTAGAGCTTTGGCATTAGATTTCACTTAATGGAATTTGCTGCACAGATAAAACACAAAAAACAGCTAGTCCTGACTCTGAGGACATTTCCTGTGATAACAAACAGTTGACATAGGAAAAAAATATAATTTATCCACTGGTTTTTCTGAGGTCAGTGATTTAAAAAAACAAAGGGGGGGTGTTGAGGGACTTTTTTTACATCCAGACAAGCACCCCAGAAGAATGTGTTTCAAATTAATGAAGTATTCCATCCTGATTTTCAAGTTATATGAGCTCACCTGTTGCCAGACATGCTCTAAAGGACTGGCACTAGAAACTGCAGAGGAATTGTGTTGCCATTTCAGCAGCCAGAAGAAACCATCCTTCATGGCCTGTGCCCTAAGAGCCCTCTAGACAGGCAAGTGTGACAGATATCTGACCCTGGCCAGAACAGTGGAAATGAGTGTTACACATACTTCAGATGTCTTAGGAACAAAACCAGCATCCACAGACATGTTGGTCCTGATGGCCGCCTGTGCCATGTCTGTCTTCCTTCATGTCTGCCAGGGCAGTCATGGGGAACCTTTCTCTGGTGCTCCACCAACCTGCAGCTTGAACATGCTGGTGAAACTCAGGGAAAACCAGAAAAGCCTTTCACCTTTCCAGAGTACACTGTCTTTTACACACGCAGCTGTCTCTGTGTGTTTTGCTAGCATGTGCTCTTTTCATCCTATGTCAGGGGCCACTGTCCCTTCCTTTGTGGGTTTGACTGGGCTGCAATGGGTATGGAAGGGAACTGAGAAGGGTTGTAATGTGTTTTAAAACCTAGCACATTAAAAATTTGTGTGATGTGCAATTGCCTTTATTAGTTACTTCCTAGGCAGTCAAGGTTTCAGAAAAACTAACCTAAAGCATCAGGTGGAGACCATGTAATCGGAGAGGTACACTGTCCACGTGCCACTCTCTTAAAGGATACAATCCCTGCCTTTGCCTTCTTCATGCCCCACCTTCCTCTCACAGCCTTTCTGTCTGAATTTCTGAAGGTTCACCTCTGTTACACCATGGAATTATTTATTTCTTTATTCCAAAGCAAAGGCCTGTGTTGTTCCACAGTGCCAGGTAAAACATAAACAATCTGGCACTGTTCCCTTTGTAGGCAGAGGAGCACAGTGCACAAAACAATGTGTGCACTGGGACTATGAAAAAGGAGCATTCTTCTCAGTTCCTGTGTTTTGCTTGTCTCCCTCAATGACAGTCCTGAAACTAAGGAGAGTGATGCATTTGCTATCTCTGGTAAAAAAGAAAACAACACCCCTGCCCTAGAGGGTATTACAAAGAAACACTGAGTGGTTTGACATTTGCTACAAGAAATGGCACAGTACAAGTTCTTTTCAGGAGTAGGTTTCAGTCCCCAGGTGAGGCATTTTTAATAAGATTATACCTGGATAGGCACAGCCTTTCTCAGGGAGAAAAGAATAGAGCAACAACTCAGCCCCTTAGGCAGGCAGACTCCCCTTCCCTACTCATACTCTAAGAGCACGGGTATTGCAAGGGTATGTGGTGTAGATACATTTGTAAAGTAAAAGACAGTGTGCTATGGGGTTTCCTGGTTGTTAAAGCCTTGAAGTCATCTAAGGAAGCCAGCTGGTGGTGGAGAAAAACATTTCCTCTGGAAAGGAACTCAATTTTCGATAATTTTCCACATGTTTCTAGAACACAAGGCTGCCCAATGAGTATCAGATTTCCTGAAGTACAAGGAAAGATGTGGCAAGGGAGTTATCAGCCATGAAGGATGACATCATGACTGGCATCAAACAGCTTCCAGGAGCCTGTTCCCTTCAGGAGCTAGGTGACTGTCCTCTCCAAATCTTCACACCCATAATAGGCTGATAGTGACAAATGTCACCAGGAGTAGAGCTCTTTCTATTCAGCTCACTTTCACAATAATCAAGTACTAAGAAGTAATGCATTTTTGCTGCTGGGAACTCTGCAGACTTCCAGCTAATTCTGTAGTTTGGAGGGCAAACGAAGATGACAGCAGGCAGAAGAGGTTATTTGTAGAGTGAGTTGGAAAATTGATTTGTTCCAACCATAAAGTGGTATGGCTGAGATTAAAAATAGAAACCCTTAGTCAAAAATTTCTGCATTCACTGTCCATACTTATAGCATTTGTTGCAATGTGGATGTGAGCCCTTTGAGAGCACTGAAATTTACTTTTGCTTCTCTCCTCCCTTTTCTTAATTATTTTCACTTGTCAAAATCCTTAAGTATCAGAAAATGGATCTTCAAAGAAAGAACTGCCTTCTCAAAAAACATCCTGATCTAATATTCATGAAGAATTGGGATATAAAAATATGCAGTTTGCTTGCCATCTCTGTTCTATAATAGTCATTGAAGGTATTCACCAGTATCTCAGAGAATTACATTTCCACATGTTTTGTGGAGGCCAAAACTTGGGTAGGTAATCCATTGTAAAAGGGACTGTGATTTAAGTTCACCAGGTGGCCTCTGGGCTGCCTCATTTAGCTTATGTCACCTGCCCTGCTGGCAGTTAAGGGCCAGTTGAAGGGACAAAAAACAGTGTATGGGGACAAAATGGGGAAGAGTAGCATTGCTGTCTAGTAGAGTGAAATCCTGTAGAATTTTCTTTGGAGAGTGGAGTTGTGAAAAAATTGCCTTCATTAGTGTTTCTGGTAGTTTGATAGACTCTCTAAGAGGAATTAAATAGCCTATTCTCTTTATTCACCTCTCCAGGATAAAAAAAAGCAAGCAAACAAATTGCCTCTTTCCTCTAATTCATTACTGCTCTGGGCAAACAAATGCAGAAATCCAGCTGTTTCCATTGCCTCTGTGGTCCCAAGATGAAGGACACATCTGAAACTCTCTTGGTGGGCCGTGGAAGTGTCACATTGAATTAGGCATTTGGGGCATAAGACAAAAATATGTATTTCAGACCAGAAAGGAATTATGAGGTCCTAGCAATATCACAAACTGTGCTTCATTATCCTTTGAGAACTTGAGTGATAACATGCTAAGAACACAAATCTTGCAGGCACACAACCTTTTTTGCCCCCTGACTGCTAACACGGTGTGATGGAAGAGCAGTTAAGTCATCTAGATCTCTATAAAAAGGATCAAGTCAGGTGAGATTTGAGCCTTGCTCTGCATTCAAGCTGAAATTGTATTCCCATTGATTCAGTTGTGAATGACAATTTGCTGCCTTGACTATCAGCTCATCCTTCTCTCATGGACTTTGTCCATTGCCAGTGGTGATCTAAAGCTCCACTCCTCAGGAGTTTTCTAAAGCTGGCCTATGATCTGCAATAGCACAACTGTGAGTTGTTAGGAAAACAAAGATGTATCATGCTATGGTGCAGCTTCCATTAAAATGTTTGCAGACTCATTTTAAAAGATCTTTCATTGA